CATAGAAGTAGATTGCCCAGTCTTCCTTCCGAGGAGTGGCTGGTGGGTTTGAACTGCCAGCCTTCTGGTTAGCAATTAAGTGCCTTAGGCACTATGCTACCAGAGCTCCTATACATAAATATAGAGAGATATTTATTTCAAGCAAATAGTGGAGGCAGACAAGTCTCAAGATGAGGGTCAGGCAGCAGGCTAGAACCTTCTCCTGACTCACGTGGTTGCAAGGGCTAATGAACCCAAAATCAGGTTTAAATCTTGGCCACTGCTCCTCAAGCACAGACACCATCCATCCATCAGCGGAGACTTGTGCATTACTGTGATGCTGAACAGGCTTCAGTGGAGCTTCCAAGCTGAAAGACTAGGAAAAAAGGCCTGGTGATCAACTTCCAAAACCAGCCAATGAAAATTCTATGGATCACAATGGTCTGATCTACAACTTATCATAGGGATGGCAGAGGACTGGACAGCACTTTGTTCCATTTTATATGGGGGTCACGATGAGTCAAGGGCAGACTCAACAGTAGCTAACAACTAACACTGGAATCTATCTGTTGTTGTTATTGTTGTTATTTGCCGTCGAGTTGGCCCCGACTCATAGCGACCCCTCCTTGGGTTTCCGAGGCAGTATCACTACGGAAGTAGGATTGCCCAACCTTCCTTTCAAGGAGTGGCTGGTGGGTTTGAATCGCCAGCCTTCTGGTTAGCAGTCAAGTGCCTTAGGCACTATGCTACCAGAGCTCGTTGGAATCTATCTAGTTTTAATTAAATCAATTCTAAAAAATGGGCAAATGGTCCTGAAGAAATCCTCACTGAAGATAATACTATCAGTACAAGTATAATAAGAACAATAAAAAATAACAGCTCTGAGACATCTGATTTAAAAAAACCAAACAAATCTATGATGGTTTGTTCAGCTCTGACAAGAATTGCCTAAGAAAGGAAATACCAGAAATGCTCAAGAGTATTTGAAACATGGCTTTATATGAATCTCACTTTAAGTATATATTGTACCCTGAGATACTATCTAAAAATAGTAGTATATGTATATAAAATATAAACAGACATTGAAATGAAGTGTGTGTGAAATTTTTTTTATTACTGAAAAAGGATTGGAGGAAGACTTATTAACAACTTGCTTGCTGAAAGCAAAGAGAACTTGAGCACTCACTAAAGAAGATCAAACACAGTAACCTTCAGTATAGATTATACCTCGAGATAAAACAAAAATCCTCACAAATGGACCAATAAACAACATCATGATAGATGGAGAAAATACAGAAGTTGTCAAGGATCTTAACTGAATCCACCATCAATGCCCATAAAGTTGCAGTCAAGAAATCAAATGACATATTGCATTGAGCAAATCTTCAATAAAAGACCTCTTTAAAGTGTTAAAAAAGCAAAGATTTCACCTCGAGAACTAAGGTGTGAATGACCCAGGTCATGGGTCACTTCTATGCGTGCAAAAGCTGGACAATGAATAAGGAAGACCAAAGAAGAATTGATGCCTTTCAATTACGGTGTTGGTGAAGAATGTCGAAAATACTATGGACTGCCAAAAGAACGAACAAATCTGTCTTTGGAGAAGTACAGCCAGAATGTTCCTTAGAAGCAAGGATGGTGAAACTTCATCTCATGTACTTTGGACACCTTATGAGGAAGGACTAGCCCCAGAGGAGGACACCATGTTTGGTAAAGTAGAGGGTCAGTAAAAAAGAAGACCCTCAATGAGATGGATTGACAGTGTGGCTGCAATAATGTGCTCAAACACAGCAACAATTGTGAGGACAGTTCAATGTTTTGCTTTGTTGTACACAGGGTCCCTGTGAGTCAGAACTGACTTGAGGGTACCTAACACTAAAAAGATGCAAAGTCATAACATCCCCTCACAATTGTAGAGTTCAGAAAAAGGAAACCACCATGGCATTTTACATGGTAAAGGAACTAATAAAATTTTATTCATCTCCAGTCACTTTCACTTTAAGATTCTTTTGTCTTACACTTTGTTTCAACATTTCAATTTAGACCAACAAACCTTTATTAGTTTCTTAAATTTAAGTGTATTGTAATTCCAAAAACTACTTTATTTCCAGTCATTTTTATATGAAAGGGAGAAATATTGGTTTTAAATAAATCAAAAATTACCAAAAGTTTCAAATGTATTTAGCTATACTTTTATTGTTTCTGTTCAAAGCAGCTTTCATAAAGTTATTAATGTTTGGGTGAGCTGTAACTTATAAATAATAATTTATTCGGTATTACTAATAGAATTATTTTCTTTGCTTTATAATCATGTAACACATGATGAAAAAGCCCACCAGCTTTTATCACTTGGAACCAAACATCATGAACTAATCATCATGAATATAAATGAAAGAGGGCTTGGTAGCTACCTTTGAAGCTACCAAGTTAGGACTGTAATCCTTTAACTAAAATCAATCAAAGTTGCCCACCTTGCAAAACCCAATCCACTGCCATCGAGTCAATTTTGACTCACAGCAACCCTATAGGACAGAGTAGAACTGCCCCACTGGGTTTCCAAGCCTGTAAATCTTTATGGAAGCAGACTGCCTCATCTTTCTCCCACAGAATGGCTGTGGGTTTGAACTGCCAACCTTTTGGTTAGCAGCCGAATGCTGTAACCACTGCTCCTTGTAAGGGAATTTGCTCTGCCAGCAGCTTCTACAGAAGGAGTAGACCAAAGTGAATGACTCAGTCTAGTATGATGGCTCTTGAAACAGAATGACCTAGACACTTATAGAGAGACCCCAACCCACAAAGCGAGGCCATGAAAAGTTACAGCGAGTCAATTCTGCAAAAAGCATAAATAGTCAAAGAATCACAAAAAGAAAGAAGAAAAGGATAAATAACTTGGCAGAGGGACAAAAAGCTCACACTGGAGAATAGCTAAGTAACATAAATACTAGTACAAACCATATACCTATTGCTGAAGACTCGAGCTGCAGTGGAACCTTCTATAGGTTTTTTGTTTTGTTTTGAAATTATCTTTGTTTCCCTGTAATACTATGTTCTGGTAAGATTTTTCTTAATCCCATGACCTATAACCACCATCCTCTTCACCATTTGAACTCTGGTGGTGGAGTGCCTAAGGCATTTGACTCCTAACCAGAAGGCTGGCGGTTCAAGCCCACCAGCCACTCTTCAGAAGGAAGACTGGGCAATCTACTTCCATAGAGATACTGCCTTGGAAACCCAAGGAGGGGTCGCTATGAGTTGGAATTGACTTGATGGCAGTGAGTTTGGTTTTTGGTTTTTGCCCCAAAAAGAGGTTAGAAAATTACACTGATCCTTTCCAACTCAAAAAGGCTATGATTCCAAACTGTAATCCTACTTAATGTTTTCCTCAAGGTTACACAAACCCCCAGAAATTTACCATCACCAAGTAGTAGTTCTTTTACGGTTTTAACTTAGGTACTTCCACAGGTGTTTCCTAGTTCCAATATTCTAATATTTCATTAACATCCTCATTCTAGGTTCATGACTTTACAAATTTCAGTAACAACTTTTTTTAAGTTGTCTTATTTCCAGAATGCTTGTTGTTGCTCTTAGGTGTCACTGACTCAGTTTTGACTCATAACGACACAAAGTACAACAGAACGATATACTGCCCAGTCCTGTGCCATCCTCATAATCACTGCTGTTTGAACCCACTGTTGCAGCTAATGTGTCAATCCATCTTACTCACCTTTTTCACTGACCCTCTACTTTACCAAGCATGATGTCCTTCCTGATAAACATGTCCAAACTACTTGAAACGAAGTTTCGCCATCCTCACTTCTAAGCATTCTGGCTGTACTTCTTTGGCAGTCCATGGGATATTTAATATTCTTTGCCAAAAACATAATTCAAATGCATCATTACAGAATGCAGAGCCCATATATTTTTAGTATAACATCCAAGCTCCCTTGCACTTGGTGGTATATTCTATACTATATATACTGTACTGCAACTTTTTTTATTGAGCATTGCACCTTAGAAATCATTCCCTGTCTCTGTATAAACCCTTCATTTTTCTTAGAAGGCTGGTATATTGTTCTATTATACAAATGTAATACAATTAATATTTCAGCAGTCCTTTTTAATGGATGTTGGACTGCTTCCAGATATTTACTATTAACACACAATGCTTCTGTTCAACACCATTTTACATGTGTGAGTATGTAAGAACAACTAACATATCACTGGATCATTTTAAGTTGCTCCTCTCTGAACTGTCCTGAGCTTAAATACATTTTTGATGCGGAACAAAGACTAGAAAGCACCCAACACTTTAGTTGCAGATGCAAAAATAATTAGCAATAAATAACTTTCTGTTAAATATAGATGAAGGGCTTGGGCATTTTGGTTTCTCTTAGAGCAGTGATAATAACAATCAGAACCTAAGAGATGAGTGTGCCACAATTTTTTGGATAATGTTTACGTAAAAATGAATGACTGTGGAAAGAGGGCAATAAGAAAAATGGGGAAACGGTCTCTTTCTTTGAAGGGTCTCATTAGCTTGACGCTAGATCTGAAAAGAATCCCAATCAAGAAAATATACTTTATTGAAGAATTTCAGATGGCTACGATATGAGGTTAAGAAATAAAAGCTTAACAGGTGAAGCTTTGAAACTTCAATTTGTTTCTTCAGTGTTACCAACTCCCGAAAGTTCAAAGACTTTGAAAAACATAATAGTTTCAAAAACATAATAGATGCACATATATTCAAGAAAAAAAAATGTATCTTTAATATAGATGCATATATATTAAAGCAAAAGGGAAAATGTTATCACTCCCGCCTTATTTAAAATAACCCCACCCCGTAGCCTGGCTGGAGGAGGGCGACCGGAGTGGCACCCGGAGCCCCATTCACGCAGGCCTCGCCGGCCGGCCGGCGCTATGGGTCGGTAACGGCGGCGGACCGCCGAGGACACTCGGGTCAGGAGGGAGGGGATTCCCTAGGCCGACCTAGGCGGGGAGGCGCTGTCCCTCCCGGTTCTCACCTCAGCTCTTCATCTACATTCCCGCTGGGCTGTTCAGTTGAGGCCACCACAGAGGAAGTCGCAGAGCTCTTGTTCTTCAGGATCCCTTTGATGGGCCGGTGCGAGGCCGTCGAGGCCGCCATAGCCCGTCGTTCTGGCTTTCGACTCAGCGTCGCTATTTAGCGCTGGGTCGGGGAAGGGAAAGGCCGGACGCGATCAGAGACCCGCCAGGCAGCCGCGCAGCCCACTCGGGGCTGAAGCTGCCACACTAGGTGTTGCGAAGACTGCTCTCGCCGTGTTTGTCACGACACAACGACCCGATGCCACAGCCGACGCCGCGCAGCTGGCGGCCCTTCCTGCGTTCTCCACTGCCTGCACTTTACCCGCGGTTCCCCGAGAGAGGCCGGCGTAGTATCCCAGCCCGGGAGCTAAGCCGACACCGTAGCAAAGCAGGCCCGCCCTCTCGCGATATCTAGGAAGAGGGCGGGACTAGGGGGGAGGCTCAGCCCTCCCCAGCGCGGCTCGAGTACCCAAAACTCTCTCTCTACCCAGAACCTTCCGGGAGGTTCAGAACTTGCTTCTTTACAGAGTTTTACAGCCCGTCAGTCACCCTCTCTCTCATCGCCTTATGAAGTTAATGTTATTTCCAATTTATAGATTAGCAAACTAAGACTCAGAGGTGACATCACTCCCCAAAGATATTAGATGAGTTATGGAGAAATGAGCTCTGTCATCTCTTTCTTTCCATATAATCTGCATAAAAAGCTCAACTCCCTATTATAAAATCATGGGATATCAGCACTGAAATATGAATTCCTGTTAGGAAATCATAGAGTATTGACATGATATCATGGAATATTGGTTTTGGATTACCCTCCCTTTACCATTGGAGAACCTGAAAGACAGAGGGTGTATTAGTTATCTAAGGGCTTCTGTAACATAAGTACCACAAGTGGGTGGCTTTAAGGAACAGAAATTTATTTTCTCACTGTTTAGAAGACTAGAAGTCCGAATTCAGGCCACCAGCTCTAGGGGAAAGAGCTCTGCTCTTGTTCTTTTCTCTATTTGCTCTGCTCGTGTTTCTTTTCAGCTTCTGTTCCTCTGTTCCTTGATGATCTTCATGTGCCATTTATCATCCCTCATCTGTGCCTTGCTTCTGTGTGTAATCTGCTCTTTTTATATCTTGGGAGTGACTGGGTTTAAGAGACACCCTACACTGATAATGATCTCTTTAACATAACAAAGAAAACCTATTCCCAAATGGGATTACACTCACAACTACAGAAATTAGGATTTACCACATATATTTTGGGGGGACATTATTCAATTCACAACGGAGGGGAAAGAACCTATCCACTGTCACACAGCCAGTCCATGACATGTGGATGGTCACAGAACTTGAGACTTGTGACTTCTAATCTATTATTTTCCCATTTTACCACATTTTGTCTCCACTGGTGATCTCGTGGATGGTATTACTAGCAGAAGTTTCTAGAATTTTGGTTTATAACCTGTTTTCAAAGAAAATTTCTAGGCAATCGCTTAAGGTGACCAACCATCTAGCCAACACTGGCTGAAATAGGCCAGAAGACTTAGGAACTTGTTAGGGTCTTTGTGAGAAGAGTCCAAAACAAGAAAACAAACACACACACATACTATAAATTATTTTGTGCCTGGGTATAAATGAAAGATCTGAGAAAAGGACTTTGATAAGAGAGGAGAAAGCTTGAGGCTCTGGGGTATCAGGATATGTGGATGCCCAGTTGGGGCTACTATGGATGTTGTAAGGAGTAGAAGTGGGTTCTATGGAGTAGAAGGAAGGGCAGAAGTTTGAAGCCCTGAGAACGGTCTCAGAACTGTGCTGTATCTAAAGTCCAGAGCCAACCTTGGATCAGCAGAGATGGTGCTGTCCAGTCCAGCCACCCTCCTCCTCTCCATGCAGTGCTAGGGCCAGGAGTTGTGCAGATGGAAAAAGGGAAGAATTTAGCTATTAAGCAAATTGCTCCCATTGTCTAAGTTATCTAGTGCTGCTGTAACAGAAATACCATGAGTGGATGGGTTTAACTGAAATTTATTCTCTCCCAGATCAGGAGATTAGAAGTCTGAATTTGGGGTGCCAGCTCTAGGGGCAGGCTTTCTTTGTTGGCTCATAGTTTAGGAGGATGGTCCTCATCTCCTTTCAGCATCCTTGGGGCCAACATTCCTTGGAGATCCTTATATGTCTTAGCATCAATCTTCCCCTGGGTCTAGGAAGTTCCCAGCACTGAGACCCTGGGTCCAAAAGACATGCTCTGTTCCCAGCTTTTCTTTCTTGGTGGTAGTAGGTCTCTCTCCCTGCTCACTTGTTTAATCCCTTTTATATCTCAAAAGAGATTTACTCAGGATTCAGCCTAATCCTGTAGATTGAAGTCTGCCTCATTCACATAACTGTCTTTAATTCTGCCTCATTAACATCGTATAAATGAAGATTTACAACATATGATAATGAGATCAGATCACAAAATGGAGGAGAGTTACATAAAACTGAAAATCATGGCCTAGTCAGATTGACACATATTTTTTGGGAATACAACTCGTAACAGCCCCTTCACTCCCACCTCCAGCTCCATACTCCCTTATCACCAAGCTCTTTTCTGCCACCTTTTCCTAATGCAGTCTTTTCATCACCTTCTAGACAGGGCAGAGCAGAGCAAGTTAGGGGACTCAGAATTGCCACTTCTAGCAGGCCACATCCTCTATATGGATTCACAGACTACTAGACCTGGAAGGGGCCTTATCAAACAGTCTCACCAGTAGCAATCTAGCCTTCTTGAATAACCCCAGTGGCTAGGAGCTTGCCACTCCCCAGAGTAGCTTGTTTAATCTTTAGACAGCTCTGACTCAGAAGGTTTACATTGAGCTGACCTGTGGTTCCTAGCAACATCAGTCCACTGCTCTGTGTGTGTGGTGTGTTTTGCAAAGAGAAGACACTTCTCTCTGGCCCCATATCTCTTATCCCATAACACAAGCCCTGTGACTTGGGGAACAACACTCAATTCTGTGTTCTTAGGACTCTGCTTCTCAGGAAGAACCTCTATACTGTTTTCATTGTCCAGCTCTAGCTGATAGCTGAGTAGAGTTCCTAGCACAGAACAGGGTCTCAGTTAGGGAATGAATGCTGACTGAAGATAATGTAGGGGGAAGTGAGCAGGAAGAAGGAAAAGAGAAATGGCTGTGCCAGTTACAGAGCTGAATGTGCCCCTTAGGGATTTTCCAGTCTGGCTAAAATGGCTCCACAGCCAGCTGAAGTACCTCCCTCTTCTGGCCCCACCCCTGTTCTCAGTGGAATGCCCCCCATTCCCCTCCCTTTTGCCCAGGCCAGGACTGCCCTTTGCTTCTGACATCATACCCTGACAGAGGAGCAGAGAGAGATTCTCATCAAGGGGGAAGTAGGATGGCCACCTCCCTTCCTGAGTTCCCTTACCCCCTGTTCCATTCTGCGTTGTTTCTCCTGCTCATGACCTAGGTCATGAGAAACCTAGATCAGCAGTAGTAATCTTGTTTTCAATGGACTATGGAAAACTTCCCTTCATGTTTTAAATTACTGGGCAGATTTGCTTTGTTCCTGCTTGGTCCCAGCCATCCATGCCCTGAACCTAACTATGACTGGGCCTGTAATTAAGCATTGCCTTCCTTTGAGACCCTCTAATGAAAAGGGACGGAGCTCTGGTAGTGTAGTGCCTAAGGCATTTGACTGCTAACTAGAAGGCTGGCAGTTCAAACCCACCAGTCACTCCTCAGAAGGAAGATTGGGCAATCTACTTCTGTAGTGATACTGCCTTGGAAACCCAAGGAGGAGTCACTGTGAGTCGGATCCAACTCAACAGCAGTGGGTTTGGTTTGGTTTTTTAATGAAAACGGCTACCATGTATGACATAATGTGTTTTATTATAGTTAATAAAGTAAAAATCATTGGAACAGAAGGTAGTGAAGACAGGTTTGAAGAAGCTTGAAAAGTGTTTTCCTCAATAAAAATAAAAAGTTAAACTTTTGCCTTTTGTACTATCTCTTCCACTGTCAACCACACGAAAATTGAGTACAGATGAAGAGGACTTCTTTAGCATAAACAAAAACCAAAACCAATGAAATGTTAGTTTGGCCACAAGATTGTGAGTGCCAGTCTAGCTTCTCCTTATATTTTAGAACAGCTGGACCACTTTATACCTCAGCCTAGCCCAGAGATTTACAAATGTGTCTATGTAGCTCTCCTCCTACACCTCTGCTAAGATATGCTCTTGTAGGAAGTCATCTGGACCAAATAGCCCAAGTACTGAATATGGTTCCCTTTGTGTTACATTTCCTATATGTCAAGGGTTTGGCTGCCAAGAAATGGATTGTGCATGGAATCTTCCACTCTGGTTTCAGTTTCTGGAAGTTAACTCAATGCAAACCATATGTTTAAAAAATACATACATATATTTAAGAATTTTCTAACAATTATTTCTACTGTCTTTGAAGACTTCATCATGGTAGTCTGACCTGATGCAGCATGTTAGGAGGAGAGAAGACACTTCAGGTGGCTGAGCCAGTTGTCACTCTGTTAGAACAGGCTACTGAACCCAATACCACTTGGCTTCCCACCAAGAACAGAGTTCTGAAATGACAAATGGTTTTCATGGCTGGCTCCATCCACCCAACCTGCCAAAGTCATCAACTGGGGTTCACTGAGTTGTGAAGCAGATAGTGCTTCTTCCCATTCCTCTCCTCTCCCCTCTGGAAAAATACCCAAAAGTTGTGACTTAATGACCACTGAGTCAGCAACAGCTCTTCCCTTGCTAAGAACAGCTCACTGTTCTTTTCATTTTCAGGTAATCCCTCCACAAGACAGGAAAAGTACCCATATTGTAGCATATGGTAGAAATTCATGATAGCAGTACCAAGATTATTTAAACAAAATACAAAATAAAGAAGTATTTTTTTAAAAAATGAGGGAAAACTAAGGACAAAGAGAAATCATTTTCTGTTTTAAAAATGGTTTGATTCACAATTGTGAAGTTCTCCACTGTTTCTCTTCTCTCCAAAGATATATATCAAAAAGTCTCTCACTTCACCACAAAAGCCTCCAAAGATGCCAGAACAATTTTCTGAGAAGACTCTCAGTGCATATGCATGCTTGTCAGGTATACAAAAGTTTCACTAGTTCCTTGATTTTTTTCCTGACCCTTTAAAGCCTAATGTCAAAC